GATTTTATGATGATGATGATTTTTGATGATGATGATGATGATGATCTTTAAATGGTGATGATTTTGATGATGATGATTTAGATGATGATGATTTTTAGATGATGATGATTTTGATGATGATGATTTTGATGATGATGATTATGATGAAGATTATTTTAATGATGATGACGACGATGATTTTGATGATGATGATGACAATGATGATGATGATTTTGATGATGATGATAATGATGATGATGGCAGTTAACATTAAAAACTCCTGACTCCTGAAAGTCGAGTCATCATCATTTTTACTCATCCAACCACTCAGGCACCTTACTAAAGCTGAACCGGATAGGGAAGTAGAGAGCGAGGAGTGGGCATAAAAGTGTAAAATAGTGCTTCTTAAGGAAGTTCCACCAGACATTTTTCATGACTCTTTTAGCATCCGGAGTTTTCATCAGCATCTGCTCCGTGTTCGGCCAATCGTTCAAGGATTCCCGAGAGCTACTGTCCCTCTGATTGATGATGATGATGATGATGACGATGACGGAGTTGTTGATGACGTTGAGAATGAGAATGATGAAGTTGGTGATGGATGATGAGGCTGTGAATGATGATGGATGATGAAAATGTTAATCATAATGATGATGATGATGATGATGTTTGTTCGTATAACTGTAATACGATGGCAAAAATAACAATGAAGACGGTATGGGTGATGGTGAAAGGATGTTGGTAAAGTGATGATGTTTGATGTTTTATTATTATGATGTGATGAAGATGTTTGTATCTTTAATATCAAGATGACATAGATGGTGATAAAAGCAATGACGATAATGTCTCTTCATACAATGATAATAACGTGATATAGATAAGGATGATGGTGAAGTGATAACGATGATAATGTGTTTGGTGATGATATCATGATAATGTTGTTGATGATATCATGATAATGTGCTTGGTAATGATATCAAGTAATGTTGGTGATGATATCATGATAATGTTGGTAATGATATCATGATAATGTTGTTGATGATATCATGATAATGTTGGTAATGATATCATGATAATGTTGGTAATGATATCATGATAATGTTGGTAATGATATCATGATAATGTTGGTAATGATATCATGATAATGTTAGTAATGATATCATGATAATGTTGGTGATCATATCAGGATAGTCGTACCACGTTAACATTTTCGGGCAATTTATTCCAAGGTTGTGACAGTCGGGACTGTCGAATCATTTGAACGTTCATCCTTTGAGAATTTTTTTTGCCAGTTTAAAGAAATTCAAATAAAAATAATAATTTTTAAATGTATCAATTAATTTGTTATAATTATATTGTATTGTATTGTATTGTATTAAATTGTATTGTATTTTATTATATTAAATTATATTATATTTATAATAATTATTATGTTAATTATCAATTAAATTTTTTTCAGTAAATTTATTTCAAAATTTCAAATTATTTAACGAATATTTTCATTTTAAACGGACGCTTGTTTATAAAGTTATAGATAGATCAAACGAGCTTGTTTACAAACAAGTCAATAATAGAAATATAAATAAACCGTTGTATTTTTATTATTATTTATTGTAATATTAAATAGGAAATAAAAAAGAATAAAAATATTATTTATTTATTTAATGAGGTAGTATGTTTATGGTTTCATATTCAGACTGAGTTAATTTTTAATTGTAAAAATAAAAATTTTTGAAAGATTTTTTGAAGGATTTTACGTTTTACAAAAATTGGCTTTCCACATATATTTGTATAAATGTTAAGTTGCATGTGTGCATGTGTGTGTGTGTGTTTGTGTGGTGTGGGTCGTAAGATCACATACATGTATGTCACCGTCTCTTCGTGTCGGTGTGTTTTTATCAACGAATTACGTATTTTTGTATTAGGGCCCCAAGCATGTATAGACGAGCAACCGATAAAGAACCCACCTATAATATAAAAAATACAATATACAAACATACAAACCACAGACAAACATCCAAACTCTATATAACCGCACAACTATATAAAAATCTATATAACTATATGTAATAGAATAAATAAAAAGGAAAAAAATTATAAAAATAAACTAAGTGAGGTGAGCTGGACAATTTTCTTTGTGCTATAACATGGGTCATGCATAAATTATAAGCTGATCTTTGTGTACAGAATTTGGCATATCCCACAACTTATTGATATATTTGAATTAATTAACTATTTGCTTGGTGTTATTTTTTGATGTTCAGCATGTAGATAACCGTAAATGTATTTTTTTAGCGTATGTAAAATGGTAACTAAAATCCGGCCCCGGCTTCGGCCGGTTTTTGAATTTTAAATCCGTTTTTTTTCCGTTAAAGTTTTCCAAGTCCGGCCAGAGCCGGACTTGGAAAACTTAAATCCGGTGCATCCCTAGTTAAAACCCATGCAATTTCGTAAGTAAGCCAACTAACTTTATTTATTCAAATCTGCTGAAGTAATTAGTAAAAGCTGCTCGCTTGGCTTCGTCAACGTGGACCCCAGAGAGACTCAGCTATGGCCATTAAATACACATACATTCTCACACACGTACATACATGCAGACAAACATAAAAACAAAATTTTTTAATCTGAAAATTTAATTTTGTAGGCGGTTTTTTAAATAACGCACTTAAATCCGCATCCGTGGCAAACCGCACAAACAAAATCCGCAAAATCCGCAGAGTTCTGAAAATTTTTTTCCGCAATCGCTGTTGCGGAGCGGTAACCGCAGTTTGAAACCGCATTGCGGTCACCCGCTTGGGGCTTTAACTTCTATGTATATGCGTATTGTCAACGTATGTGTGTGTGTGTGTGTTTGTGTTCGTGTTTGTTTGAATGTGTGTATATGTGTGTGTGAGTTTACGTATGTGTGTGTTGTCATTGTTTTTCATTCATCCTTATTGTCATGTGTGTGTATGTACGTGTATTTATTGTTGTGCACGTGCCGTTATTTGTTTTTAATAATGTATTATTGATGTTGATTCGTAATTATTATATTTCCAAATTTTTTTTTAGAAATCGGTATTTTAAGTTTTTGGGCTTTTTAAACAAAGCGAACGACGCAGACATTTTTATTATTTTAATATAATTTTGTGAAATTATTATCTGACAACGTTTTGTAATTCAAAACTTTCAAATGTTGTATTCAACTGAATCAAATTGGTAACAACGGCGGTAAGATGGCAGATGGTTTTGGCAATTGTTGATGTCGTATTTGTTGTTGGGGTAGTTGTTGTTGAGGTATTTGTTGTTGTTGTTGAGGTATTTGTTGTTGTTGTTGTTGTTGAGGTATTTCCAAAAACTCTATTTCCTGTTTTGGTATCTGAAGATTTTGTTCCAACGAGTATTGTTGTTGAATGATTGGTTGTCGGTGTGATGTGTTTTGTTGTTTTGTTATCTGTTGTGACATCAGCAATTGATGCAATGATTGTTGCTGTTGGCTAACATTTTGTTGAAGTTGTTGTTGTTGTAGTTGCGCCATTTGTTGCTGAGTTGGAAAAATGTGAGAAACTTGTTGCGATAGTGTTGGTGTTTGTTGCTGTTGTTGTTGATGTTGTTGTGTTAGTACTTGTAGATGTTGAGGTAGCAACATTTGTTGTTTGTTTTGTTGTTGTAGCAAGTGATGTAAATAGTCCTGCTGTTGTTGTTGGAAGATTCTTTGCTGCCGTGGGTGTTGCAACAGATGTAAAAATGACTGTTGTCCCTGGAGATGTTCTTGTTGATAAGGTGTTTGTTGGAAATTTTTATTTTGTTGCTGTGATTGATGTTGATCGGACTTTTGCACAAACTCTGAATGATAAAAATTTGTATTTGTCTGCTGTTGGGGCGTTTGTTGTATGTGCTGAAGTAACTGTCTTAGTTGTTGATGCAAATCTTGTTGTTGTGACTGTTGCTGTTGTGATTGTTGCTGTTGCAGTTGTTGTTGTTGCAGAAAGTAAAGTAGCATTTGCTGTTGTTGCAGTTGGATTTCTTGATGAGATGATGTCTGGTTTTGTGGCGAGTGCACTTTATTTGTTTTTTCTTCGAGATCTACATGGGACTGATTCGGTTGGTGAACATGTCCTGATATCTGTTGCTTCAGCATCTGTTCTTTCTGCAGCTGAATTTGTTCCAACAGATGTTGATAATTTAGTTTTTGCTGTTCCAATTGTTGTTGATGTTTTTTCAACAAATCATCAAAAGCTCTCACAAGCAGAAGTTCCTTGGTCGTGTCACCAGACTCATCTTCATCAGACTTCAATGTTTCGTTAACTGTAGTTCCATCGGTCCGATTGTTCTTACGATTTGATGTTGGGCAGGTGCTTTTGTTTGAAAGTTGGATGGAGAGTTGATTTTTATTAGATTGATCATTTTCCAACGTTTCACATTCAGCGTCGTCCTTGTCGACATTTTCATAAAAAATATGAACCATTTGTGTCTGTCTATAAAAGGTGGAAGAGAAATAATATTTTTAAACATTTTTTGTATCATGAAGCAAATCTGCAATGCAATAGTTTCGAAGCAAATCGTTTAGATTTTAAATCACTATGAGAACAGTCATTTTTGAAACATTAGCAAGTCAAAGAATGAGGACTGAAAAGTGTACAAACGAGGGTTTTGAAGATGCCTTCTTTGCCATTTCGGACAACTTGAGGTGCTTCTTAACGTAGGGAAGTTTTTCTTGCGAGGTCATGCTCTTCCATTTTATACCTGGAAAACAAAATTGACAAAATCACACCACCGCAATAGTCCAAAAATAAACATGTGCAGAAAAGAATAGATATACTAGAAAAAAAATTACCAAATAGAAATAAAACTGTAAGCGGAAATAAATTACCAGGCAAAAAAAGCTTACCAAGCATGATGCTGAGACTGGAGTTGTGGACACCTGGCGCGCATCTCAGCAATCTGCTCCGTTCCTCCTTGGCCCACAACATGAAGGCGTTCAGAGGTCTCTTACCGTTGCTGTTGTTGCTGTCTGTTCGTTTAACGTTGTTTGCTTTCCCATTCGCAGCTTTCTTTTCTGTTTAATTTTTTGTTCTTACACGGGTTAGCAGGATTTGTTGGTGTTCAGTTGATGGGTTGGTTATTTTTTTAAACTTTATTAAGATACATCACCAAATCCAGAAAGAAATAGTTTTGTAAATGGTTGTCTGATGTGAAAGTAATTGTTTGTCGTACATGAGTTTTAAAATATTCGATAACTTACTGTTGCCTTTTTGAAGAAACTTCTCTTGTGCATCGTCGACCTCATCGTTGCTGCTACCAATATTATTATTGTCATTGTTGTAACTGATGTTGTTGTTTTTGCTCTGCTTGTTACGGCGTTTCTTACCTTTTTTGAATGAACAAATTTTGTTGTTGTTGTTGACGTTGCTGTGGTAGTTAATGCTACTACCGATGACAGCCATGTTGGTGCTATTATCGTCATCATTATTTACTGTTAACGTACATGCGGAGGAAAAGGAAGAAGAAGAAGATGATGATGACTGTAATGATGAAGACGATGGACAGGATGATGACGACGATGAAGGTGATGATCGAGTGGAAGATTTATTTTTTGATGTAGCGGCTGTAGCTGCCTCAGCTGATGCTGCCGCTAAAGACGAGAGAGAAGTTGAGAGTGAAGAGGGTAATAGAAATGATGATAGCAATAATGAAGAGAGGGGCGACGATGGTGACGACTGTGGTGGTGATGAGGATGGTAATGTGGATGATAATGTGGATGATGATAGTATTGGGGACTGCAAAGGAGAGGCATCATTTTTCTTTCTTTTTGAGTCCTCGTCATCATTTTTATTATCATCATCTTCATCGTCACAGCCATTTATATAATCTTTTCTCTTTTTAGCCTTTTCAGCATACTGTTTTTTATATTTTTTGCATTTGTTAACATCATTCTCAACAGGGGACATCACGGCTCTCATCAGCATCTTCATCTTCCTCTTTGTCATCTTCTCATTCCATCCTTCTCTCCTGGCAACCTCCGTCAACTTGTTGATGCACTCTTCCACGTCCACGTCATCACGTTTCAATCTGACGTCATCCATCTTTTTGTTGGTAACCGTGACAACAAAATTATGACAATTTTTATTTCTTGATTCCGGTAATATGGATGATAATGACGATCATGTTGGTCGTAACGTTTATGAATATTCCGCTGTGATGGTCCGATATTTGTTGTTATTAATTTTTATTACAATTTAATACAATTTTAATTACAAGTTCATTATTTTTCAATTTTTTTAAATTAAAATTAATTTCCTTTTTGGCTTTAAAGAAACGTTATAGCATGAAAAACACAGCAACTAATAAAGTGAATTGAAATTCAAGTCACTTAGAATGCAGACTAACTTACATGCTTCTTAACCAGACAAACTATTCACAAACAGCGTCTCGCTCTATCCATACAACGAACTTTTAATTCGCAGTTACTCAAAACAACGTTGAACCAACTGAGCAGCAGAATTATTTTTAAAATATAATCTCTCGTTATAACTGTTTGCTGCATTATTATAAACATCATAGTACAGCTAATTATAATACTAGCCTACATTATGATAAATATCTACGCTATTGTACTTGTAGGTGTTGCAATTAATATTAATTTATTCATTAGACGGTCACGCCTGAGTGAATAAATTCGACACCGGATAGAAAATTCTGCCGAGAGAGCAAAGCAGCAACAACTGAAGCGCTAGAATAATGAAAAACAATAAATAGCTTCACTGTTCGTTGTTGCGAAAAATGATAATGCTGGTATCACTAAAAGCTTTCAATGGCGACTTTTCAATGTGCTCACATAGGCATGCAAAATTTCAATGTGATTCATGCCTGTACTTGTATATTACGGTTGTTCCATGCTACGTATCTAGTGTTTGTTTTGCGTAGCCAAAGAAATATCCAAAGAACCTATCCCAATAGTTAGTTTTGTTAGAGTTAAGGTTAAATTTAACAAAATCTCCACATAAATATTGATAGAAGTGGTTTCCACAACAGTAAAAGTTTTATTTTTTTGTTTGTTATGTCGTATTCTGTATTGCTCAGTGATTGTGTGCGTCTTTTGTATGTATTTGAGTGGGTTCGCACGCAGATGTGCGTTATGCTTGAGTTGTACGTTGTACAGGCATATGCTAAAACACATTCACTCAAGGATATATTCACACGCAGACACAAACGACCAAACTAAAAACCAAAGAGGGCGCTTTTCTTGTGAAGGCACCGAGACAGTAGCCCCGCTTGTCCAGCCATCCATCGATTCCTGACCATTAAAATTTTCCGACTCCAACTTTAACGGAAGTTAAACATTATTGATACCATTGTTAGTACATAAGATGGTCGTGATGAACCTCAATAGTTGTCGTTACGTTTGCTGTTTTTGTTTATTCTATTATTTGTTTGTTTGTTTGTTTATTTATTGACACAAATGGCTAGAAAGTTCAAAGAACCATTTGCCCAGTCGGAAGAAAAAAAAACAAAAATTAATTTTCAACTAAAAACAATTGCAAATAGATAAATGAACGAGAACATCTCAACAAGAAAAAAAGTAACGTCATCATTTCTACCATTTTCGCTTTGTTGGGGGAGAATTTTTGAAATCTTAAATGAAGTTGATGATTGCCCTCTTTGTTTTTTTTACACGGAATCTTTAATAACTTCTTCTTTCAATGTTTGAATCAGGCACTGACTGAACGCTCATTCTTGTCGTCAACTTCATTAATTTGTTGAATAAAAAGACAATAGGAATATAAAACTTCAACTAACTTGCTAGAAATTATTTGAAATGATTTTAGAACTTACTTCATATTCATCATGCTGTGATGAATATGATTCTCTTCATCCAACAATAAATATGAAACTGCACGAATGTTGTAGGTTTCAGTTGAATATTTTAATTTCTCAGATGTTTTAATACTTAAAATGAATGTATATTCATTTAAATAATTTTCAAGTTTAATTATACAGACATCTTAAATAATCCATTTTAAATATTCCATTTTTACAAATTCTGTGCAATGTATCTGCTATAGGTTAGGTATCGAACCAACCACAAACTCACATGTAATGTGAAAACCGGTGTATCCATCTCACACACGCACACATTGAATGTGATAAATGGAGATTTGTTTGCAATAGAACCCAGTGACTTCAACAGCGGTGCCGGACATTTTACCTAACACACCACCGGGCCATCCAGCATTTCATACTATTGGTATGAGTAAATTTTGTTGTTTTGCATACGTGGTCTAAATTATCTATCTTTGTTATGGTTTTTAACAGATAATTAAATATACAAATAAATATACAAATAAACAAACAAACAAGCAAACGAATAAAACAACACATAGAACTCAGTATTTGAAAATAGGCCGTTTTAATGGTATTTTACATTTCATGGCCTTCTAGTATTTTTTCCATTATTTACTTTACTGGAAGAAGAAGCAGTAATAACTAATAAGATAATAAGATATTTATTTATTCGAAGCAAGATTAAAACTTTCCTATTGAGTGAATGATTTATTTAAAAAAAATAGCTGCCGACTCCAATTTATACTTTTTACCTTGATGGGAGATGGTTCCACGCTGTGTCGAGTTTAATAACGTTATTCATCCATGTTACTGTTGTTATTTTAAGAGAGAGTCGAGTGCTGGTTGCATCATGATTCCCACGTTATAAACATTTTTATCAAACAAACTTTTTTATCTCTAGGTATGTTAATATGAGTTGAGTTATTTTGAAATGACTGATGGAAAATATTTCATGTTTAACCAATTTAGAAATTAAATTTTATCATTGTCGCCATTCTTCTTGGAAAATCTTTTATAAAACACGTCACAATATTCATTTTATATCTGTCCATGTAAATTGCTTGAAAATTCTGTTAATTTTAAATAAAATGAAAATTTTTAAAATCTTAAAAAAAATCATAGAAAATAACTCATCATTATTACTGAATATAAATGCTAATAATCTGAATAAAATCACATAATTTTTTTTCAGTGTACTTCAAAGCACAAAAACAAAGAAATTTTACTAAGAAAAACAGTTACATTGAATGATTCTTGGTGTTATTTTACAGTATTTTTAATTTAGTAGTGATAATAAAGAAATTTTACCCGAAGTCTGAGTTTTTTGAGGAGCCGGAGTCGGCTCCGACACCCTGGCAACATAATAGATAAAATCAATCAAAAAATTTGGCCTGGACCCATAAAATTCTTGAGAAAGAAGAAAGTAATGTTTTATTTAAAAACATTTTTTTTAAGTTTTTAAAGAGCTTTTAAAAAGTTTCTCTGTAAAAAAAAACGTTGCATAAATGTTTCCAATGAAATATTAGACAAAAATTAACGAATTTAAGCGTTACAAAATTAGGATCACACCATAAAAACTAAGATAATAGGATTTAAAAAAAAATTGTAAATGACATGTAAATGAGTGATCGAAAGCTAAATCGTAGGACATAAATTAGAAAATATTAGTAAAACGACCTCTCTTCTTTCAACAAGACTTAGAGTAACGTGTATCGCCAATCTTTGGCTCAGATTTAAGACATAGTCGAAAACTGCCGGGCATTCGATTATTTTACCAATATCGCAAATGTGGTGGTTCACACCAGCGATAACTGTAATGGGCGAACCAAGAGGACACACGCCCCCAGAAGCCGCCAACTCCAGCTTGTACTTCCTCTTCTGATGGAAGATGTTTCCACGCTATAATTTGTTGATTGGTCCTATTAATCCGTGCTAATTTTTTTTAGCTTCAATCAAGATCATACAACGATTAACTAATGATTTTTTAAACAATTTTATTTCATAGGCAATAAATGCTATATTCTAGGTACTCTCAAATTTAAATTGAATCAATTTAGAAAATAATTAAATTAAATTACAGTTTGTTACAAAAATTACAACTAAGAAATAATTATTGTGTTTGTTCAGTTAGCATAAATAAAAAATAATGAATGTATGTTAAGATAATTGGATCATGATATACAAATTTTTATTAATAAGTTTCATGATGAAATAAAGTAAAGACTTAAAATGAAGATTGTCATTAAAATATGATGCTAGTGATGTCATATTAACATTTTTAATTCATTTTCGCATAAGTATTTGCTGATATTTTGATAAAAAAGCCTATTTATGTTTCAACAAATTTGAAATATTTTCATACCATGGTCACCATTTTTTTTGGACTTTGCTGTATAAAACATGTCACAATATTCCGTTTAGCCATATAGGTAGTTCGAGTTGACTCCTTTGAAGTTCAATTTAAATCAAATTTTCAGATAAACCTATGAAATTGTAAACTTTTAAAAAATTGTAGAAATGGAGATAAAAATTTGGTATTGCACGGAGTTTGCGCGTAAGATAATGCAAAAATTATGCAGTCGGATAGCGTATCCCAAAATGACTTTCATGTCACTATGACACAGAAAGCAAGTACATTATATATAGAAAAGGAAAATTTGTTTAAAAGAGCATAACAAAAATTTGTTATATCTTGCAAAAAAATATTGTAGACTTGAAAAGAACAAAATTGTCGTTATTACGAATTTTCGTTTGATGAGATAACGTTACATGAAATTTGTTCAAAATAACCTGCTTGGGGGTTTTGTCACGAGGCAGCACCAGCCTTTTCATCAAACCTTCATTGTCCAAAGTCAGGACGTAGTCAAAAATTTCAGGACAAGAAGCTGGAGGAGCCATAAAAATACATACTTAGTAAAATGTTTAAAATATTTAAAGTTTATTATACTGGAAGACAACAAGATATTCTTGAGGGTGAGGGTGAGAGGGTGCAAAAAACATTTTCAACACAAATTATTTTCGATTTTTATAACGTTAGATAGTAAATTATTGTCAAGTTTTTGAGTTCAAAACCAAAATTTTGTTTATTTTAAGCACGATAGAACATTTAAGCATGATAGAGCAAAGAAGTTTTTTTTCGGTTTTCCTATACCATCTTCGGTGATCGAATTGATACGTTCTGTATGTGGCCAGATGCTCAAGTATATATATAAATATACTGTGCCTTTATAATGTTAATTTTTTGTTTGTTTTGCTCACCAAGGTCGGTTTATATAATAACATTTTACAGAATATTAAAGCTTTGAAAATTTTTGGGGTGTGCTAACGGACCTTCGTCTGCCTACCTACCCTCGATCGCACTAGTGAAGTTAGATGAAAACAAATTAAAATTAAATAGATAATTAATTATTATTAATAATATATAATAATAATTAATAATAAATAAAATACTAATTTATGAAGCTACCTGCAAAACTTTGAGCAACCGTGAAGATCATGATCGTCGCAGCAGCGCAATAAAGGGGGAACATTTTGAGTTGATGTAATTCTAATTATAATTAACTGTAAATATTATATTTATTACAATATTTATTACAATTATTTATTAAAATAATTATAAACAAGTTTTGAAAAAATTCAAATTTAAAAATTTAAATTTTCTGAGTACCAAGCACGGAAGATTGCAAGTATTAATTTAACTTTTGCGATCAAAAAATATTTTCACATCGATCATCATTTATTATTGTTAGAGTGCGCCATAATTTTAAGAAATAAAATCAATCTAGGTTCAAACAACTTTTCAAATTAACATATTTTTTAAATTACAAAAATCATTAAAAAAATATCATTAAAGATAATTATAAATGATATAACTTTTTTAGTAGTATAGTGGTATTGGTAGTAGCAGTAGCAGTAGCAGTAGTAGTAGTAGTAGTAGTAGTAGTTGTTGTTGTAGTAGTTGTAGTAGTAACAATAACAGTGATTATCACTAAAACTAAGTTTCTATTTCTATTGCTACTGTCAAATAAGAACTATTTAAACTTTTTTGATAGCTACTTTTCTGAAAAAATTATCATTAAATTATAGTTGTTATTTTCATTTTCCAGTTGGTACCGTAAGAATTTTATTAATGGTTAAGGTTAAAGGTTACTCTCTATTTTACGCTTGCTTCAGAGGTTTCAACGACAAACACACACACATCATATACGAATACGCGTGAAAACCATGCATCATACACATTGCATATGATAGGCGGGGATCTTTTTGTATTCGAACCCAGTTACTGCAGCAGCAAGACCAGGAGCCTTTAACCATTGAGCCATCACGCCGCCCAATACCTATTAGTTATACCTATCTACATCAGAAGATGGATTAGTGGTTGCGTCACCTAAATGTTATAAAATTTAAAAACAATTTGGTCAAAATGGTTTTCAAAGATAGTGACGTTTCTTTCAGTTATACAATTTCTTTTTCTTTTTTTTTTAAAACGTTTTCATCAAAACCAAGTATTTTGCATATCACGCTGTCACAGTCAACTCGTTCATGTTTGATACTCCAAGATACAAATCTCATGTACGGTTACTGATAATGGTTTACGCTTAGAGTGAATCTAATCTAACAACTGGACAGGAGATATTTGTATCTGATCAGAAGAATTTCAGAACAAAAATAACAGCTCCTGAAAAAGAGTGCGTTAGAATGTGTACTGATGTTCACCACTACCAACGCTCATCTTACAACTTTTTCCTGAAAAAAATCTCTTCCAGCACTTTCCTAATCATTCAAAATATTTTTCGTCGACAGTTGAGATGAAATATGTTTATTATTTTCGTGTTAGTAAATCATAAACGGCTCTGTTTATTTATTTATTATTTATTTATTTCTTCGATTAATTAAACAAAGTAAAAAAATGTTGCTGTTGAAACCACATTTACATTAAATAGCAGCTGTTTCGTCACTTGTCTTCTGCCAGAGACATGCTAATTTGTTACATATATCTTATCATCCATAAGATATTCATCAATATCATCATCATCCTATTTATCATTATCATCATCATCATATTCAGCATCATCATCATCATCATCATATTCATCATTATCATCAATCCAAAAATCACTAATCATACAATCAGTTATCGTATATGTGATTATACATTCACCACATATTTGTTAATCATCAACGTCATCCATTCTACCATACTCAGTGTCTCCAATGTTATCTGGATTCATTTTATAAAAGATAGGCACTACATTATTATTATTATTATTATTATTATTATTATTATTATTATTATTATCTAGACTGGTTTTCGAGGTGAAATCCAGGGCAGAGTTTGTTGCAGAAACTGTTGATGGGATTGTCTGGCGGTTGCTGTTGATGTTGTTTAAGTATGGAAACATGTTGCGGTTGCACATGTATGTGTTGCGGATGTTGTTGTAGTTGTTGTTGTTGTTACTTTCTGTGTCTATGTTTATGTTGTTAGATTGTGTATAAATGTTGTTGTTGATGGTTTTGGTGTTGAATGGAGTCTCGAATTCCATATCCAGTTGATCGAATGGTAGCAAGGGTGGTAATTCTTGTAGTAGTTGTTGTTGCACCTGTTGTTGTTGATCATTTTGTCGATTGTTTTGCTGCTGAGGTTGTTGATGTTGTTGTTGAATATCTTTTTTTTCATTGCTTAGTTGATAAGATTGTTGATATTGTTGGTGTTGGTGTTGTTCGTGTTGTTGTTGCTGCTGCTGCTGTAACTTCTTAATTTGCATTTCTAACTGTTGCAGTTGAAAAATATTCTGTTGTTGCAAAATGTACTGTATCAGTTGGTTTGTTGAAAATGTTGTTGTTGTTTTTATAGTTTCTGTCGGCAATGCTTTTTGTGTTGTCGTGTGTTGCTGGTGAGTTGTTCGTAGTTTTGCATCAGACAGCAGATGTTGAAATGTGGATGAAAATGACGATGATAATAATGATGTTGAGGTTGATGATGGTGATGATGACGGTGGTGATGATGTTGTAGGCATTGAATATTTTAACGTTGATAAACGTGTTGATAGCAACGATGATGATGATGATAACGTTTCTGACGTTAAAGATTTGAAAATTAACGACGGCGATGACGATGATGATGATGCTGGTAATGATGACGACAACGATGATAATGATGCTGGTGATGATGACCATATTGGTAGCCATGTTGATGATGGTTTTAGCAAGAAAGTTGATGTTGTTGTTATTGTTGATGTCATTGTTGTTGACGTTGTTATACATGATGATATCGGTAACACTGAAGACGTTGATGACGTTTTTAATGACGTCATCGAGAATTTTGTTTGAGAAAACGCCGATGACAAATTTGTGGAAAACTTTGTAGACGGTGGTGATGATGAGAATGATATTGTTGAGGGTGACGACGACGACGACGATGATGATGATGATGGTGAAGATGATGAAGATGATGATGCTGATGATGTTGATGATGATGTCGACAAAAATAATTGCGGTGTTGATAATGACTGTTCTACTTGACAAACATCCTCGCCATCAATGTTCTTCTCTTCTTGCTGTTTCCTGTTGGCATCATCGTTGAGAATGTTTATGGTGGATTATGATATAAACGTTTAAAGTTTACAGACACAAACAAACAAACAAATAATTAAACAAACAGACTAATCAACCAACCAAACAACCAATTAACCAGCCAACCAGCTAACTAACAAACAAACAAGCACTGACTTATAGAGCAAAGTAGCTTCCCTGTGCATCTTGGTAAGTTTCAGTTGTTCTTCGTAATACGGTCGCTTGTCATTTTCTGTCATCTTATTCCATTTCAAACCTGGTTAGCGTGAGTTTGTGTGGATGTGTCTTTGCGATCTTGTGTGCGTTTGTGTGCGTGTTAATGTGCGTCGTTGTATCGTTATGTTTGTGTGTTTTAATTATCTGCGAATTATCGTGTTTGTGTGTGGTACTTGCGTGGACGGACATGCACCAAAATGCACAAACAACTTTGAAGTCCTGGCACGTCAGCACGCTCTAAATGTTAAATTAATTGGACTAATCTAAAATAAACATTTGATACACGCATCCACACACAAACAGACATACATACAGACACACACACAGACACACATACAGATACACAGACACATATACAGACACAGACACACATGCAGACACACACACAGACACACATACGGACAAATATACAAACTCACACACACAAATAATAATATTTTAGGATGAATTATGAACATTTTGTAGTTAAACAGATAAAATATTACAAATACATAAAACAACAATAGCTACAACGAAAACAACAACACTCACGTAAATTATTTTTAAGATTTACTAAGACAATTTTTGGATTAGACAGATAAAATGTAACAAATACACATAACAGCAGCAGCAGCAACAACAACAACAACAAACAACTATTACAAACAACAACAACAGAAACAGCAACGAACAACACCAACAACAACACACTCCACACAACACAATTACAACAACAACACCACCACCGCCAACAACAACAACACATTCCACAAAACAACAACAAAAAGCAGACTCACCCAACAAAATACTGATACTGGAGTTGTGCACTCCCGCGTGCAACTTCAGCAGCTCTCTTCTCTCTCCCCTGGCCCACAACATGAAGGCATTCATTGGCTTCCTCAAGAGCACTGGTTTCAACTTCGCATACTTAACATCTGAAATTTCAATGGCACGTTAAATAAACAAATAAATATAAATAAAAAATGGGCTCTAACGTAAGTTATATATGCCCATATCAAAATAGCATTAAAAGGCAACAAAAAGCAATTATATTTAATAATTGATATTTATTATTTATTATTTTATATTTTATATTTAATATTTTATATTTAATAATTATAGTAAATATTTGCAATTGTTTTTTTACGATGTTTGTGAAGTTTTTACTTTACGCATTTTTACGTTAATGTTATCATCATTTTTTAATTTTGAACTCATGTCATCATCATTATCGTCATCGTTGTCACCTTTACCAACCTCATCACCATCACCATCATCTTCATCGTCGTCGTCATCATCATCATCTTCATCGTCATTATCATCATCGTCATCATCATCATCATCATCATCGTGATCATTTTTACCATCATCATTACCATCATCACCACATCACCATCTTATTACCATCATCATCATCGTCATCATCAACATCATTATCATCATCGTGATCATTATTACCATCATCATTACCAATTACCATCATCATCACCATCACCATCTCATCTCCATTTCCTCATCACCATCATCATCGTCGTCATCGTCATTCTCATCATCATCATTCGGCTTACTTTTTATACGTCCATTTTTAGTTACTTTGCACTTTTTCCATTTTAGTTTTAATTCCTGATGCCGATTTCTTCCATCATCATCATCACCATCATCACCATAACCACCATCATCATCAACAACAGCAACAGCAGCAGCAGCAGCATCCACAACAGTAGCTTCATCATCTTCAATTTTGTTGGTGTTGCTGTTTAGTTTGATATCATCACCATCGTCATCATCGTTATTGTAGTCATTCATTGGACCATGCTTAATATCATTATCACCATCATCATCATCATCATCATCATTGGTGAAATCGTCACCATCATCATTATCATTAGTATCACCATCGAAATCGTCATCATTTGTCGTTGACGTTGGAAGGATGGGTGATGGTGATGATGATGGTCCTACCGACAGATCGATCGGATTCGATATGTCGGTAAAATTGTCGGGTTTGATTCCCCATTGGTGGGGATATTTATTGTCGTTGGAAAAATAATTTGAAAACTGAAAATGTCTTGCGTTGTTGTTATTGTTTATGTTGTTGTTGTTTTTGTTAATGTTGTCGTTTAAGTTATTTATTTTGCTGTTTATATTGCTAATGTTGTAGTTAATGTTGTTGTTGTTGTTAATGTTGTTGTTGTTGATGTTGTTTAAATTATCATCCTTCACGTAAAAGCCAATTATAAAATGAGATGATTTTGATGATGACGATGATGATGGTGCTGGAGCCAATAAGAATGACGACGACGACGACGATGATGAAGTGTGTGTTGATGACGATGAAGATGAGTATGATGATGATGCGATCAATGATAATGGAGGCAATGCTAATGAAAATGACGATAATGAAGATGGAGAAAATGATGAAAATAGTGATGGTGATGATGAAAATAGTGATGGTGATGATGAAAATAGTGATGGTGATGATGAAAATAGTGATGGTGATGATGAAAATAGTGATGGTGATGATGAAAATAGTGATGGTGATGATGAAAATAGTGATGGTGATGATAGCAATGACAACGACGACGATGATGATAAAAAAGATGAAAAATCCAAAGTTTTATTTGCTGTAATGACGTCAGGGGTGATTGTTGGAATGATGACATCACTAGAAGTAGCAGTAGTAGCGTTAGTTGTAGTTGATGAAGCAGCAGCAGCAGTAGTAGTAGTAGAGGACGCTGTGGCACTTGTTGATATTGTAACAGCGGTAATGTTTTTATTAGCAGTAACTTTTTTTTTGCAAAAATTTTTTGATAAAATATTTAACTTTTTCATCAACAAATTAGTTTTCTTCTTCTTCTTCTTTTCACTCCATCTCTTCTCTTCTGCCGTTCCAATCCATAGCATCGCAAACTTGTTGACGTCATCATCTTCGTCATCATCGCAGCTTCTTTTAATTGTAGCAGCAGCAGCAGCAGTAGTAACAACATCGGCAACAAATTTCAAATGTGTTTTTTTGGTTGTTGCAGGTTTAACAATATTAAAACAATTTGTTGCTATTGCAGTTGAAGCGGCAAAATATCTTGTGGTCGATGCGGTTACGAATCTTGTGGTTGAAGCAGTTGTAGTAGCGGCTGGGGTACTTCTTCTCATTGTTTAAAATACATCAGCAGTTGTTGTAGCTACTTCACCCTTAATCAATGAAATTGGAGTTTATTTCCTGCCAATCATTATTGAATAATTTTGTCATCATTGAACCGGCAAACATTTGCTTCGGCATTCTACTCCTTTCACATATTAAAACAATCAAAATGTGTTGTACACCACACATACATTCATTGTGCATGTGCATGCATATATTTATATTACATTATATATATTTATATATATACATATTATATATATATATTGTATGTATATATACCGGTTTATTTGGTCTGATTAAATAGTCATTCGTTTACATTGGGATTGCCTCACTCGTACACAGCAAACATTCTTACACTTGAATTTGAATGTTCAACAATGCATGTCCGTGTGTGTATGCTAGCATGATTGCTTTAATGCATTAAATGTTTGGATGCATAGATGATTGGATGAATTATTGCATGGATGAATGATTGCATGAGTGAGTGCGCGGATGGTTGGATGAATAAATACATGGATACATGGATGAATAGATTGTTAGATTAAGTAGATGATGGATTATTTGAACGAAAGAACAGACTGAAAATTTGAAAATTTTAATTCAGAATGAAATTAAATTATAAAGATAAATAAATACATACGTTACGTGGTGAGTAAGAAGTGGTTATCGTTACCTATACCTACCTACCTGCAAACAAAAAAAAAGATATTACAAATCAATAAAATTCATCTTGACAATGAATTAAATAAAAAATTAGATAAGACATGCTTTGTGGCTATAATGCATAACACATGATGGCAAATTAGTTAAATCAAGCAAATTTCTCTAGAAAAATCATCTCTGTATCGATAATTTTAAATTTGAAAAGATTATCACTCATAACAAAAGTTGCAGCTGATGTTGATGTATAATGTGATTTGTGTTAACTGATTTCATTTGTATTCTTTTTTTGCAGTTGGGAATTTTGAATGCAAATATATGTATGTATGTATGTATGTATGTATGTATGTATGTATGTATGTATGTATGTATGTATGTATGTATGTAAGTAAGTAAGTAAGTATGTATGTATGTATGTATGTATGTATGTATGTATGTATGTATGTATGTATGTATGTATGTATGTATGTATGTATGTATGTATGTATGTATGTATGTATGTATGTATGTATGTATGTATGTATGTATGTATGTTAAAACCAAAACATGATGAGTGACACTGAACCGTCAAACATCAAGTAACAAATGGATTAACACTTTGATTTGTCGTTAATTGCACATGTCGGCATTCTTTTGGATATTTTCAAGCACACAGACACGCAAGAACCGCTGCAACAAGCACGAAATGTGGTTAGTTGCGAAAAACAGTTCCCTGCTGTCGCCTGATCTGACGCTGATCATTTTACATATTGCCTTAAGAAATTTAAGGGTGTTGGGATGTATGTATGTATGTATGTATGTATGTATGTATGTATGTATGTATGTATGTATGTATGTATGTATGTATGTATGTATGTATGTATGTATGTATGTATGTATGTATGAACCCGTTTTGATGAACAAGCCATGGTTAGGCATGCAATCGTTTCCGAGTTCAACTTTTATCTATGTCCCTGGTCTCGCACAGTCAGGTATCTAGCAGCTCCATCCAGAATGCAAAAGGAATTAAATTTTTGTAATAAAAGTGAAAGAGTTTGTTTTAAATAATTTCCTTCGTTAGGATCACCCGTTATATTAACTATTTTTCTTGTTAATTCGTTAATAAATAATGATGTGTGCTTATCTGTTGGTCCGAACGTTTCAATGCAAATGGGTTGAAATATTTTGCTTAAATTGTTAATGAAACGTATTTTTCATTTTTGAAATCGGACGCTTTAAGGGCAGCAGTGCCCGCCTCCACTGAAGTGTTGGCGATATATCGGTCAGCCATAGTGTGGGGTAAGGTAACGTCCCAAGCCAGGGACCGTCCCTGAGCCTATGGGGTGATAGTGTAACCATCAGGCCTAAAGGCTCCTTCCTCTATCAAACCCATGGGTTTTTTTATAATAGGGATACCAGCCTTTTGAAAACATCGTACCAGGTATTCGTTGACAGCCGTATGTCTGGCTTGTCTTCCAGGACCTAGATGACAAGAAAGGCTATGGTATCCAAGTTCATCAACCCTTGCCCCACATGCGCATTCGTATTCGGTGACGATCTGGGCTCCGAGTCTCAAACCAAGGCTCACGCGAACACAGGAGTCATCCAATCTAGTGCCGCAGGAGGTGTTGGGTAGCGCTCTCAACCAGGCGGAGCCCAACTCACTTTTGACAGCCATAATTCTAGCCTTGTCAAAAGTGGAGCCATTCAGTTGCAGCCATCAATCAACTGATCTATTAAGACAGGGGGCGATCCAGTGTTTTTGCGAGGGGTTTTCGAGCGCAACCACATCTCCGTTGGTGGCGCGCCACATGTCGTATACTTGCATTCTGAAGTTATCGACATAAATCCCATCCCTCGGCAACATCAGATCCTGGAGGGCCACCGTCAGAAGCCAAAAAGGCAGAAGGTGCCAGCTCAGCCACGGAACCCAAACCCAGGCCACCAACACATATAGCTTTGTGTCCCTGCAACCAATATTTTTGATCGAGTTTTATGTTGAAGATGGACTGGAAGATGTATGTATGTATGTATGTATGTATGTATGTATGTATGTATGTATGTATGTATGTATGTATGTATGTATGTATGTATGTATGTATGTATGTATGTATTTATGTATGTATGAATGTATATATATGTATGTGTGCATGTGTGTGTATGTATGTATGTATGTGTATGTATGTATGTATGTATGTATGTATGTGTGTGTGTGTATTTGTAGTTTTATTTGGTCATTATTATTATAAGGGCATGTTAAACTTAAAGCATATTCTGCCGATTTCTGGAGAAATTAATTGAAAAATTCTACATAACATTCCAGAAATAGATAGAAACATAAAAAAAAGGATAGAAAAAGGAAGAGAAAAAGATAGATAAAAAGAAATGATATGAGAGAGAAAGAGAAAGAGAGAGAAGATTAAGAGAGTAATGCAAAGCTTCGAATTACTTTATTGTTATCACTTCACGCCTCACTGACTATGTGCAAATAAAATAATTTCCGTTCATATTCTAATGATTATTACAACTTCACTTCTACCATTTTTGTTCATGCTGATGTAATGCTTCGTGAATATTCATTATTATAAAAATAGTATAATAATATTGAGTTTATGTTAACATTAAGAAAGCTTTGTAAGTGATGTAGAAAAATGTTTTGTTGCACCAAGCAATTTGCTCACACCTCGCTCACGAGATAGTTTCTGAAGCAAGATACAAAGTAAATGTTTGTGTCGTTGTTTCAATCCTCTCATTAAACATCATTATTGGTGTGATTTGAAAAGCTGCAAATAATTCGCTGCCACGTGCAACAGCTTCCTACTTGAATGGAGATTTTTTAAAGTAATCTTGCTGATATAATTAGCCTATAGATGTCTTTAAAAATTTTGAAATATTTTACTGACCTTGCTTTATAAAATGTGATAAAAAATTTTAAACTTAACACTAGTGAAATTTCATTTCAAAACTAATCTTTATAAATAAATAACTGATGCAGTGGGAAAACATTCTTGTCAAACATTGTGTCAATACGAAACATCTAAAAAAACTAAAAAAATCAATAAATTAATAGAAAAAGTTATTTGTTAGTTAATTATTTCAGAAAATTACGTTTGAAAAGAAGTCATTAACAATAGAAAATGATTATATAACATTTAAAAAGAGTCATTTCGATAAATTATCTGAAAATTCAGAAAATTGTAAACTTTAAGACAAAAGATCTAATTAATTTCTAGCTGGGAAGATATTTTAGTCTTGTCATCCCAACTGTGGAGCCCTCTTTATTCCACACGGTCAGAGCGTTGTTCGTGTAGAAGTTCACCAGCTCGCCGAGAGTGGAAAATCTCTGGAGTTGGATGTGACGCGAAAATAGAACATGGACATCAAACGCAAAATAAAATAATTTACTCCAGCGAGTGCACACCATTTTAGTACGACACGCCTGCATACATAGATACACGTACACTGTCATTAATTCAATTTGATTATATATCCATTAATTTACGTATCCATTATTCGTCTATCCATATCTTCATTGTTCATTAGCCTCAGCAATCAATCATTCATTTATCCATATTCCAAATGATTTACTTGTAAATATCAATACACCCATCCATTCATCTGTCCATACATCTATCTATCCATCTATCTATTTTTCCATTCATCTATCCACCCATCCATCTATCTTTCTATTCATCCATCTATCTATCCATTCATCCATCCATCTATACACATCACCGTCACCACAGCCAATCTCTTCAATCCACCTTATGATCCGCATCTGCCTTGCCAATGCAGAGCAAGTGATCCTCAACCAGCCTGATGGGAAGATGGTAGCATTTCCTGTTGAGAACCAAGGATAGGGAATAGGGGATTCTGGGATCTTGTTTTGAAGTCGATCCTCTGTGACGCACCACAAATGATCCTGTCTTCATTTGGAGATTGATGGATGGATAAATGGATACGTTGATGATATTAGGATATATGATAGATGAATTTATAGATGATTTTATAATATATGATAGTTGAATATGTAGATAAATGATTGATGGACATGGAAAGGTAAAAAAAGTAAACTTATCTTCATTCACTTCACTTATTCACACACATACATAAGAACGCATTACTTAGGAAGTTTAGAAGTCTCTTTGGACACTAATAAGATGATTGATCTATATTGATATATGGATACACCTGCATACATACATACATACATACATGCATGCATGCATGCATACATACATACACGCATACATACATACATACATACATGCCTGCATCAATCACCAATGTGACCTTTAACCATGTAAGCAGACAGCCATACCACAAACATACATTCCATCCCACACTTACTTCCTCCAAATATTTTTCCAACAAGAGTTCCGAATCCTCTCTCTCCATACCGCTCCTGAACCAAAAGTAGTTATCCTCTACAGTGTTGTATGTCGATTGTAACTTGGCGCATGGATAGATGAATGCATGGTTGAATGTATGGATAAATGAATTGGCGAGTGGATGATTTGATGGATAGAAAGAAAGAGGATCAGATGGTTAAATGGAATGATATATAAATAGTTGAATAGTTAATTTAAAAAAACTAAAAAACAAACAAAAACAAACAAAACGCAAATAAATTTTCCGATAAATACAATAAATAAAAGTATGTATGAACAGAAGCATGAAATATGTGTAACAAAGTGCCAAAATTGAAACAACCAATTCTTTACAGCACTCGCAATGAAGCCCTGTCATCCAATGAATGGGCCGATAGCAATAGTCTTAGTTTTGCACAGCAATCATTTGAGGAAACATTTATAAGAAGAACTGAAGTTGGCAGAACTGGAACTTACGAGAAATTAACAAAAACGAGACAGGCATGTACCTGGTCGATGGAGATCCTGGTTTGTTCGGGGGGCTCGTTGGCAGGCGGCACTGGGGGGAGGGCGCGGTCCATGTAGGGTTTGGCTGTTGGCTCCCCTGTTCGGTGCGGACCAATAGTCTCAATATTTTTTTTATTTATTTGATTAATTTGTTTGTCTGAATAATTTCAAAATTTAGTTTACACTGTTAAAAAAATTTTTAAACAAATTAAGTTTTGTACATAATTATCGCTAGTTCACTTCCATTAAAACTGCCAAGATAGTATTTAAATTTGCATATACTTATATGTAAACTGCCCTATTCTGTCTTACCAAAAACATGTCAGGTAAGAACTTGACACTGAGTTGTTATTGATTATTTTAATTTTAAAACTGAATATTTCCTACAAATTTGTCAATACTACCGTCTTCAGTGTCGTAATTTAATATTTTGCCTGTTTTCATTGGTCTGTTGGTGGGATAGTTGTTGGTCCAGGAGGATCGGTCAACGATGTCCGGCAGTTTGTAGACGCTTTCAACATTTTCACACTTAATCGTGTCGCAGTTGTATGTGTCAAAGTTGACGGTTTTGTTCTTTTTATTGTTGTTGTTGTTGTTATTATTGTTGTTGTAAGGGTCGTTTGGGTTCCCATCTGGAATCATGTAGACGTTATTTTCATCTTCAAAATTGTTTGAGTATTCTCTGAACAAAGAGGAGGTTGTTGTGGCTGATGTTGGTGTTTCTGGTGGCAATGGTGATAGCACGGGTGGCAAGTTTGGTGGTTTTTTTGTTGACAGAAAGGTTTCTGGCAATTTTGGTTGCGGTCTTGGCGAGGGCATATCCCAGTTTATTATTTTGTTGATGTTGTTGGAATTATATTTAATAGTTCCGCTGCTGCTGGTGTTGTTGTTGTTGATGGTGATGCCATTGTTGATGTCGTTATTTTGTAAAATATTTTGTGGTGCAGTTGTTGCGGGTGGCGGTTGAAAGGGGTGAAGTCGTTTGGGGATGGGTGGGGGTGAGGAATCTGAGGAAGTTCAAGGGAAAGGTCATTTGATAGACGCGACATTTCAATAAGAATAATAACTCAATGAAATAATAATGATAATGTGTATGTTGACAAGCAACATCAATACAGCAATGCAATACGGCAACATGAATGCAAACATTTGAAGAACACAATAACATTTCAAACATCATTAGGTATGATTGGCATGTTTAACAACGCAGTGTTAAACAACACGATGTTAAACAAAACAATCTTAAACAACACAATTCTCACCTTCCATGTCAAACGTCCTAAACATTTTGTATAGCGGCAACAAAAGTTAGTATTTTTAATACTAATATATATTATATTTTACTATTTAATATTAATATTTAATATTTTTAATATTTTTACTCTTAAGTTAACCACAAACCTTCTAAATTACGACCGTACTATAAATTTATTGCAAGTTTATTGCAATCTTTAATATAAGATCACTGGAATTTTAATCTAAGGTAATATTTTAATTGATCATCACAACAACCGTAATGTCGTTTGCTTTCCAAGTTTCATCTACCTCCTATCCACTCAGTTTGCGACACACACCTGGAAAATAATTTTAGCTATATTTTTTAACCTAATGCATCTTCAATTCAATAAGATCTCACGCCAATGATGATGAAATCAAAACTTTAAGTGTAATTTAAGTTCAATTATTATTCTCATTTCATTAAGTTTTATAAAACTTTTGTTATTAAATTATTTTGTGGGAAATTTTAGTTGAAAAAAAAACCTTTCAGACGAATGAGGCAAACAATGTCAACAATGCTTAGCTTACGTATATTTCATGCAGCTGAAGTTACCAGTGCTGGCATTAACGTAATATACTGTTGTTGTTGTCGTTGTTGTTGTTGTCGTTGTTGATGTAGTATTTATTTTACTATTTCGGGAATTAGTAGTTTTGATATATTTTCACATGCATGACTTTTGTGAAAAAACACATCACGTGTCTTACAGTTTCTATTGTTATGAAATATTCAATTACATTACATCAATAACATAACAAGTATGGTATGAAGTGCGTACATTAACTACTAAACATCTGCGTCTCGCTACCATTTCGAATCGACACGGTTCGATACGATATCAAAATTTTGTCTCGATTAAAGCGAGACCATGTGAGAGAGACGCAGATGCCTTTTAACTACATTGTAAATGATTGAACGGAAATTTGCGGAATCTAAAATGTTGAGATGATCATTTTTAAGCAGTGAGGTCTCCAAATGTTTTCATGATCATGAAATGAAGTTATGGCAAACAAAATTTTATTGCAATCTGTGGAGTGTGTCGGATGGTTTTTCGTAGGTGGGACAAAATTTTTATTGGCGATAGTTCAATTTCTATTATGCCAAATGGTAGGTGGTATCTAACACTCTCATGCACTTGATCAATCTTTTTCTATCAACGTTAACATGGTAAACAGCTTACTTCAAAATGGAATGGAAGAATAATTCATTATTTATTGATGTATTAAGTCAAATAATGAAAGAAACCAAACAAACAAATAGAAAAAAAACATAATTGCTTTAGTTGTTGGTGAAATTCATTTTTTATGATTTGAAATTGTTTGGCGCTGTTGTCATTTCAACAAGCAATAATTATTTTTTAAGATAATCGTAACACAACTTAACATAACACAACAAAACATTACAAGGATTAATAAAGTAGTTCAATAGACTAAGATCCGTGTGAGAACCACTGCCAGTTAAGTTTCCCAGTATCCCAACTCTCCGTGTTTGATCTTGAAACTGTTGGCTGATTGCACGGATCATTCAGCTCATTCCAGACGTTTACATAAGTCAAGATAATCGTTAATTATGACTTTATAAAGCACACCGGAAAGTGGTTACAAATTACATTACCAAACAATTACCTGCTTATACTTTTTCTGTTAAAGTACACACAAAGTAATTGTGTAAAGTTGTACTGATGCTACTGGTGTGTTGTAGTTTGTTGAAGAGCAAAGTTGAGCCACATCTGACGGAATTTTTTGCCGAACTGATGTACTTAGCATAATCAACATTAAAAAGATGCTCATTTCAATTCGGAGTTTCACGCAACTAGATAAATCGAAATAGGATTTGAAGTAGGAATTAAAAAGTGAAGATAAAATAAGGGATGATGACGATGACGACGATGACGATGATAGTAATAATAATAAAAAAAATCATGATAATCATGAGAATAATAGTAATAATAATAACAGAAGCAGATTATTATTTAGCGGTTTTGTTAAAAAATTGAAAATGGGGAAAAAATATATTTCAAACTGTTGGGAAATTCCAGCTTCTTATCTTATAATTCTCAAACCGTAATGATATTTTTAGCGATTGTAATGATAGAACCACATAAACATTTTCACACAGACACAAACACAAACACACACACACACACACATAAGAAAGCCTGCCTTCAATATTATACTCGCACCAATTGTTAAACTAGCAAAATGACAAATTTAAAAACTGTTAAAACATCCTCAATGTCTTTGTTAAAATAAATAAATTTAAAAATGTAAAAAAATGGACTACTTATGGCTACTTACTGACAAACTGTCTTTGAAAAAAAGAAAGATCTTGAACGAAAAGAAGATGACGAAGAGTGATGATGAAAGTGATGATGATTACGATGATGTTGTTGTTGTCAATGATGATGTTGTTGTCAATGATGATGTTGCTGTCAATGATGACGCAGATGACGAGGACGACGATGGGGATGAGGATGGTGACGTCACAGATGTTTGTGAATGTAACAGAGAATAAATATAACGATGCCAATGACGCTGTTGTTGTTCGTGCTGGGAAGAAAGAAAGTCAAGTTGGGAATATGAAGATGACGAAAATGATGACGACGACGACGATGATGATGATGATGGCAATGATGAAAACGACATCTTAAAAGTGAATTTAAAAAGATTGTCTTGCCTTTTTAAAAATTCTAAATAATTTTAAAGTGAAGGTGAAATGAAATCAAATGAGGTGAACTCGTTAGCATATTCGATTACCGTTTCAAATCTTTATTTTGCGGAATAAAAAAATACTATAAACAATAACAATAATAATAACAGCAACAATAATAATGATAATGATAACAAGGATAATATTAATAAAAAGGATAACAATACAGCTGTTGTTATTATTATTAGCATTAGTAGAAGCAGTTGTTGTAGTAGTAATAGCAGTAGTAGTAGTATTAGTAGCAGCAGCAGTAGTTGTAGTAGTTGCTGTATTGCTAGAAGTAGTAGTAGCAGCAACAGCAGTGAAAATAGTAGTAGTTGCAGTAGTAATAGTGGTAGTAGCAGCAGCAGTAGTAGTAGTAGTATTGAAAGTAGTAGTAGCTTTTGCAGCAGCAGTAGTAGTAGTAGCAGTATTAGAAGAGTCGAAGTAGTCGTAGCAGAAATACGATCGATAAGAATAAAAATAACAATAAAAAAATAACAAAAACTGATTTCCATATTTATTTATTCCAACTTACTTGTCGGCTCGGGATTGGTTGACAGTTCTTACTTGTCGGCTCGGGATTGGTTGACAGTTCTTACTTGTCGGCTCGGGATTGGTTGACAGTTTGTACTTATAATGAAAATACAAAGTCGGTTGGCAGAAAAAAAACTTGAAGTCCGATTTGATAGCCAGAAGAAATTTGAAGATAAAAATTTTCATCCAGAGTTCATTTCCGCCCAAGAAGCTACTTAGCGCCGAGGTAAGAACTTTAGTGAGGAGTCATCAGTTTTTTTTTAATATAAAACTCGTCATGATATAATTTTAGTAAAATGGTATTTAATTGAATTAATGTTTATAAACAAAAACAACAAAAACATTACAACAACAAACAATAACAACAACAAACAATAACAACAACAACAATAATAATAATATCAACAATAACAACAAAAATAATATTAATATAAATTTAATTAGGAATCATGCCTGGAAAATACTCAGCAGGGGTGATGATAATGATGGTGATGGTGGTGGTGACGATGATGATGACGACGATGGTGATGGCAGAGAGGAATCAAGATGACAAATGGGTGGAAGTAGACAGTAAGTCACTCTCTGTGTTGATGACGATGATGATGATGATGTCAATTATTAAGGTGATGATGAGGATGTTAATGATTAAGATGAGGATTATGATGATGATGACGATGATAATTATGATAAATGAAGGGATGATAATGATGATGATGATGACGATGGTGATGATGATGGAGATGATGATGATGGAGATGATGATGATGATGATGATGATGGAGATGATGATGATGGAGATGATGATGATGTTAATAATTAAGATGATAATGGCAATTAGAATGATAATGATTACGACGGTAAGGGTTAAAATGAAACTGATAGTTGAAATGATAAAGATTAAGATGATAATGTTTATGGTGATAATAAACTGTTAGCAAATGATATCATCGCTATCATCATTATTATCCCACATTTGATGATAATAACAAACGATCATTGCCTACAAAATTGTCACATTTGAAATCACTGCCATAATTTCCAGCTTATCATCGAAACTATCATCGTCATCATAATCATCCTCATCATCCTCATCATCATTATCACCTCTGTCATCATCATCATCATCATGGTCGTCGTCATCATCATCATCGACAACATCATCATGGTCGTCATCATGATCAGCATTTACTTCACAATCTCAGTGGTATATCTTACAGAGAATAATAATAGTTTTAATAACAATAATAATAATAATAACCATCATTACCATGATCATTATCATCATCCTTAACATTTCACACATGTACGCGAACAGACCGTAAATCGGTCGATTCTGATGACACCATGGAAAAGAGGTCTGACAAATCGGATCCAGCTATTAATTAGGTCGATGAAACGTTCGTCAACCCGTCCACCGAAGATCAGTGAGATAAAACTAAACAAACTATTGTTTGTCAACCTAATTAATGACTATAACTACATTTAATTGCATTATAATGGAATGTCTTTCAATCTCATTAAAGGATTGGCACGGTGTTGATGTTTGTTAATCATGCGAATCTATCAAATCTTGATCAGTATTAATTAATGTGATGGGTGTAAATCAGTCGTGGGTGATATGATGTATTTATTGCGGCGTCTGACTTGGTCATGTTTCAGACGTTTTGAAATCTGTGGTGGGTATGATGAAAAAGTCATTTATCACACTTTTTGATATATATGGCTCTTATGAAATTATTTTAGATGATGAATCTCATCTCAATTTTAAACTTTTAAAATTTTTAATGTAACAGCACATTTTTTCATGAGTAAATTTTCTGATACTTCTCATAAGAATTCACGTCATAATGAAATGTTGAATGGCTAGTGGCTATGAAAAAAAAAAAATGATAATAACTTTTATTTTTATGATGATGGTGACGACGACGCTGAAGATGGTTTATAATGACCTCGATTACAATGTTTTTTGTTACCAAAAAATTATTTTATAAATTTATTTTTTTAATATTTTCTATTCAAATTTTATTTACGTTAATTTAAATATTATTCAATGAAACGACAAGTATGGAACAATTAACGTATGAATGCTGTTCAAATTATTTGTGGTAAAAATTAAAAAAATTCGGTCAAAGGAACATTTGTTTTGTTTTATTTTTTATAAAAATATTTGTTAAAATATCCTGAAAACCGAATAATTTTGGTAAACCCGGTTTTCACAATATCTCCAAACGGGAAAATATAGGGGCAACTCCGAATGAAGGAAGAAGAGTTTTCTTGCGTTTGAAACAGGTTACCGCGATACGGAAGATTGGATGGAAATTTTGTCGCTGAGTCATCATCACTCCCCGCCGCCATAAAGATATCACATTTCCGAATTATTTCTAAATAAGATTTACGCTTTTAATAATTTTGAAAATCCGTTACCTCAGCAAAGGACTCAAATTAAGTTAAAAATTTGTCAAGTGCATACCGCTGAGACAACAACACACACAACCAAGTAAAAAGTAAAATGTGACCTGGACCAACCCATCATTAGAGATTTTTTATACGTACATTCAACTTTTTTAAGTTTCGAAAAAGTAGATTACAGAGAATGGATAAAGCATTCCACGGGTATCTACTTGCATACTGTATAAGAATGACTATTAGAGGCTGTTACCTCTGCTTGTATAATGTCGATGCCCTTCGATAGCTGTCATCCAACAAACCAGCACCAGGCATGTTTCAATATTCCTTCAATGTTTCCACTTTTCAGCACGTGTTTCGCATTTAACTGATATGAAATCCATTGATCATCACCTATATTTTGTTCATTTAAGAGTTGAGAACTATGTTAAAGTGAATTATAAATTAAAACAAGTTAGGTTTAATTGTAATATAAATTGAGTGTCCCCAAATAGGACAACGTATCCATGCCGCCCTGTTTATTATCACATTAATGCTTGAGAGTTGAGACAATCAGTGGCTGATCTAGACAACTTTGACGGGAAGCCAAAGTTTTAAAAAATATTTCACGACTGAGTGGGTAACTCCGATAAGTTGATGACCTCCCAGCCGGCTTACTGTTACTGTTCTTCCATTGTCTATTGTCTTATTTAGATAGAATATATTAAGTATATGAAGAATAATAGTATATATATATCCTAGCTTATATTAGAGCTTATACTTGGCATGTGGCTTGTTCATCAATAATACAATTGCCACATTTTACCAGCATTTAATTATTTAAAAGCAAACTTAACTCAGAAAATGACGGAAAAAAGTTAAATTAATTTCAAATCATCTGCGGAATCGCCTAGCGACATGACGTTATTTAATTGCAAATTAAAATTTTTATTTCAGATTTTAATTTCTTTGATTTTGTTACTGATTTTTAACGAATATATCGTGTATTTTTTAGTCCTGTTAAAATGTCAGTGGCCCACACTAACAACCTCAATCAAATCTTCCTCATCCGTCAGCAGCGTGTACTCTGGCGAGTTTTTAAAAGTTATGATCCTGGCAGACGTTCATCTTCTCGGGTCCCGAGAGGGTCATTGGTTTGACAAACTAAGAAGGTTGCAATTTTTTAATTGTGGTTTTTAATTTTTTTAACTTAAAATTTCAATTTGAGACTTTAATAAATGGAAATTTTATTTTTCTTAAATTAAATTTTAAGCAAAATAAAATCATAAATTAAAATTTCTCAATATGATATACCATAAATAAATAATTATCATTATAAATAATGTAAAAGTAAATATAATAATTGTTAAAGTAGCGATAGAGATCATCATCATGTCATACATTTTTCATTTGTAATAAAATCTAAATTAATATAAAATCACTGGAAATACATTGGATTGTAATGGTTAATGAAATTATGCTTCTTTTAAATCTAAAGTAATTAAATTTTTAAAAAATATGTCGCAGATTGTTAACATTGTTGCCAATCAGTTAATAAAAGTTCTGTTTTAATTTCCAAACTATGAATCAAATTACTTGCAAGTTACTATGCTGTGGTATTTATTTATTGAATTAAATTTAAAAGTAAAAATTAAATTATTTTGATAGGGAATGGCAGATGGAAAGATCATTCCAAACATCCATGCTAGTACACGACCCTGATGTTGTTTTTATATTAGGCTAGTATCAAATATGCTCTAATCTAATATAATCTTATTAATAAATCAAATGGTTATGTTTTGTTTCAGTTTTATTGTGAATTAATTATTTCACATGATTTATAATAATAATTTATGTTTTATTCATATTCAAGGTGATTTATTTGATGAAGGAAAATGGTGCTCCGATGCTGAATTCCAGTATTACGTTAATAGATTTCGATCAAAATTTTCCACTCCAGAACGAACGAGGCTGTACGTTGTTGCTGGCAACCATGATATGGGCTTCCATTATGCGTTCGGTCTTTTCTATCCTAACTTAGCTTAACACATTTCAATTGGTCTTATTTTCATGATAATTTTTTCCATTATTCTTTCATAATTATATCTGCAATGTTGAAATTATTAGATTAATTCAACAGTAAAAATAAAACTAAATGAAACTTCAAACATACTCCAGTATAGATGATCACAAGAGGATGAGGTTCAGTAAGCATCTGTCATCACCACTTGTCCAGTTGCTGATTATCAATGGAAATGCATTTGTACTGCTGAATAGCATGGCGTTTGAAGGGGATAGGTTAGCATGGTGTTGTTGTCGTCGTTATTGTTGTCAATGTTGTTACAATTGGTTTGGTTTTCAGTGTTGTTTGGTTAGTGTTGTTTTATCATAGCTGTTGTGTTAGTATTGTTTTCTTGGTTGATGTAATTAATTTGAGTTAGGCTGATGGAAAAGTGATACTTGGTATTTAAAGTTGGTTTGTTGTTTTTAACGCCTTATTGGATGTTGCTGTGGCGTGTTTGAGTTTTTGTAAAATGTTATTATTGCATTGTAATTGCATTTATTTTTAATGTTGTAGTTATAAATGTTCTTGAACCCGTTTGTAAGCAGATGTAGCATGTGCACAAAGGCTGAAAATGAACTCAATGACATCATCAAAAAATTCAAGTGTGCCCAAGTGTGTTGTTTTTACTGCTGTGCATTTCACTCAAGATGGTTCATGTTGTCGTCATTGTTGTTGTTGTTGTTATTGATGTTTTGAGGACTGTGTTGATGTTCTTTGATCCTATTGCTGTTAATGTCATGGATAGCAGTTGATATTTACGTTGTTGTTAATATTTATTTGATAATAATGGTGTTGTATTGTAAATGTTGTTTGCTAATATTTTTAATAAGACATCATCGTGTTGACGTATTTCGACATGATGACTGACACGACAGATTAATGGAGACGATTGCATGGGAAACCAGGTGACCTACAATCCACCAATCATAATGCAGGTCATTATCTATTTGACATTTCTTATGATGTTGGCTTTCTATTAAAAATATTCAACCCTTCATTAACTTTATATTGTAATTTCATTTTTATCTTCCAGTTAAGTTGATTCTGCTTAAAATATAAAGCTCTGCTTGGCCGTATCAAGTTGTTGTTTTTTAAAATAAACTGAAACTAACCAATAGCATCTTTTGATGGCGGAATCATCTGTGATCTAAATTAAGCATATTTTCTTGCATGTACATGTACACATCAATCTAAAACTAATGTACAACATTTAAGCGTCTTTTCTTGAATATACATGTACACATCCATCCAATACACACACACGCTAAACAGAAATATTTAGAGGTTTGTACGCGCAAATCCACAAAAAAAAACCTGAAAGTCACGCACCTGCCATCATACAATACAACAGCACTTCCCACTGTACAGGGAGTCAGATGCCAACTGCAGCGGTCCAGACTCCAGTCCTGAGGATGAAAAATTTATGATGATGAAACCGAAATGGGACTGTCTGGATAGGAACATTTCTAATAAGGTTTTTTCTGTCTGTTGGTTTGTCTGTTTGTTTGACTGTTTGCTTATTTGATTGTCTCTCTGTCATGTTTCTAATTTTTTAGATTTTACAAAACATCTATCAATGTAACTCAATAGTTGCGGTACTATTTTAGTGTGCTCTGATGCGTGCTAGTGTATGTGTCAACGTCAACCAACATATAGTGATCCTTAAACGTTCAAATGAGCAGGATGTTTGGCTTGCTTATGCTTTCAATCCTAGAGAAATATTAAACAGTGATGTTGGAAAATTATATTATTCAGCTTTTGAAGATTTGTCATCAAATATAAAATTGGCAGCTACAATGTAATTTTTCTCAATAGAAAATATATTAAGTGACTTTGCATCTTTCCAATTGATAATATGATGTATTTATTTGTATTTCATCACAAAATATGATCAAGATATAATATGAAAATGGCGCTATATAAACTACAAAAGTTGATCGATTGGTTCATTGGTTATTTTTTATCGCGATATCAGATACTGACGAGTTTGAAGCCCCGCCTCGTTTTCTCAGGTCACACCCACCATTTCTGCCTGACACACCACAACAGAAATCAGACACCTGAGTGGACTGTTCCCTCATTCAGCTGGAGGTACAAAAATCTCCCCAGCTTTCTCATGGTTGGTGCCGATGTTAACCTGAAAAATAGTAACCGAGAAAAAGTAGAGATGTGAGAATAGTATTACCTGACGACTCGTTATTATGATATATTGAACTATTAAGATATTTTCATCTGTGTTAAACTATTAAAATATTTTTGAAAACAGATGTCACTAACGCCAACGGCCTACGACATAAGCAAATGCTACTTGCCGACGGAAAGTGCAGTCGTCAGCACGTACAAATATGGAGTGGCCGTCATCTTCGTCTTCTTCCTTTTATACAAAAAATTCAACTGGTGTCACAGGAAAAGTGCGAATAAATTTGGTTGAATGAGGTCACGATCAATTTTCTTTGTTTTATTATTTTTATTTATTTATTAACACAACATTATAGGTTTTTGTTATTAAAACTGTCTATCATTGTTACTGTTATTATTGTCATCTGTTTATGTATTTTATTTTAAAGTTATTGCATAAGAACATTAGGTCTGTGTTCTTTTGTTTTTAAATGACCAAATTCACACGAATTATTAATTATATATTAATTATTATATTATATTATCATTATAATTATACATTGATTGTATATTGTTTTCATTTCATATAACCTTTCAATGTGTTTAATTTAAAAAATTTTATCTGATAGCATTGTGCAAGCAACTGCGTCTGTAACAAAAATCACAACATTACAGTCAGTATATAATTATGTACGATTGTTTGGGCGTTGTATGTATGTGTTTGTGCATTGTATATATATATATATATATATATATATATATATATATGTATACATACATACATATATATGTATTTATATATATATTTATGTATATATATATATATATCATTTATAACAGTTTGATTTTTTGAACATAGACATACTTGGTTTTATAGCTATTGTTGCTGTTGTTATTAATCAAAGAGTAATCTTCTTGATCTTCTTGAATGATTGTAATCATCAAATAAACTGCAAAACAGAAAGATGCATTAGCACGAAACAAAATATCGTAATAAAATTACAAAAAAAATATATATATAAAACCAAAGACCTACCCTCAAATTTATCGTGTGTGTGTCTTTGTGTCTGTGTGTGTGTGTCTGTGTGTGTGTGTCGTCGCGGCGTTATAATTAGAGTTAAGTGCCTTTTATAATCATGAATTGAGGTGGCACGGCAGGTAGACATTATTGGATGATTTGAAAAAATGAATGGCGGACTGAAATAGTTCAACTAACTGACTGACTAGACGAAACCATTCGTCATTTTACAATTAAAAAGTGATAAACGAACGAATACATGTCAATATTTGCGTGTGTATATACATACGTACGTGTGGAAGTAATTTTAAAAAATTAGCATTATCATCGCGCCATAGATATTACAAATCGATACTGTTGTTGTTAACATTTTTAAAATGTTGTTAGGAAAATGAAAAAAAAACTCAATCAATAAATCAAACATTATTTATTATCATTTGTTTTGAAATTTAACGGTCACAAACTAATGTTTGATGTTTGTTTTGTTCGGATGTTGTTTGCTTTAAACTTTGTTGGCATGTGCATTTCAGTAGCAGCTGTTGTCATTTCACAGAACCAACGGATAACCAGCCAACCAACCAACGAATCAATCAACTGACGAATGAGCCAAGGATCCAATCGCAGCATTGGTATGGTCCAGTGGTAGCCAGCTTTGGCTTGATCCATCCAGTGACCATGGAGTCTGTTGTCATAGTAGCCGAACTGTTGACCGGAGCCAACAACATCTCTCTGAAGATGAACTGAGTGGGTGACGCCGTTATAATGACGTCACTGTCGTTTAATTCGTTCAACGACGGAAGTGTGGCTGATGACGACGACGATGATATGTTCAGTGACGATGACGTTGAAAACGATGGCTCGGTTGATGATGACGACGATAGTAATAGTTGTGATAGAGACTGCAGAGATGATGGCGGTGATGGTAATGATGAAGAAAGTTGGTGTAATGATGATAATGATGATGGAGGTGATGAAGAAATGGAGGAATCAACTGCTGCCATTAACTCCAGTGAAACATTATCACTCGGAAAAGATGATGATGGTGATGTAAGTGCAGACGATGACGGTAATGATGAGAGGCAATCTATCTGGCAAATGGCCAAGTTTGAGAGTGATGTTTTCGTTTCAATTAGCTGTGAACATGCTGGCAGGGATGAGGTCAGTAACGGTGTCGATGATGATGATGGCAAAAATGATAATGATGATGATAAAAGTGATGATGGTGATAGCAAAAATGATGATGGAGACGATTCTTTGTCTCTTATTGATGGATTTGCAGCAACAGATAGCGTTAAAGTGGAAGATAATAATGAAGAAGATGATGATGATAGTGTTTCGGATTCTAAAAATGATGATGATGATGGAGATGATATAACGTATTTAAGCTCTGAAATTGTTGAAGACGATGTCGTTATTAATGAAGATGATGACGAAGACAACTTCATTACCTTGCCTTTGTCGTCACTATCATAATCATCGTCATCGTCGCTTTTGATCTCAACGTCAACTTTGAACACATCATCAACTTCGACTGGACCGTCACGGTCACTAAATGAAACAGGCACAGCCACACTAGCAACAGTCGCAGCCACACTAGCAATAGTCGCAGCCACACTAGCAACAGCCGCTGCAATACTACCGGCAGTAGCGGTAGTAGCCAAAGCAATTGTAGTAGCAGTAGTTGTAGTAATGGCATTTGAAGTAGTGGCAGTTGATGAAATGTTGTAAGCAGTTGTGACGATAGTAGTGATATTCGTTGCTGTAGAATTATTTGCATTAACTTTATTTCGTTGAAATCTGAGACAGATTTGGTTGCTGGAATGATTAGTGATAGAGTTGGACCTTACAAAATTGCTGCCAACAACTTCAAAATATGCAGATCCGTGAATAAGTTGGATGAAGATTCCACTCTCTGTCTGTTTCGGTTGAGGTTGTGTTCGTTCGCGAAGTTTCATGCTTGAGTAGGTGTGGTTCTTGCTTCCATGTTGTTGTTGCTGCTGCTGCTGTTGTTTGGCGAATCTTTTGTTGTCGACGTTCGTTGGCGTTGTTGTGGTTGATGTGGGTGACAGTAATAACTGAGACGCCAGGGTGGATGCTGGCAAAGTAGAGAGGGATGATGAAGATGTGGAGGAGGTCGCAGTCGTGGGTGGTGATGCCAACAATAATGCCACTACCGGGGGTGAAGTTTGAGAGGAAGATGTGCTAATACAAGAGGAGATTTTGTTGAGATCTGTTATAATGCTCTCGGATGTGTTGTTGTTCGTGATGTTTGAGGTCGTCGTGTTGTTGATGTCTTTAATGTTTTGTTGTTGTTGTCGTTGCTGGCGCGTTCTCAAATTAGATAATTTGTTCATTTGTTGTTGCTGTTCAAGTTGGTCATGCTCAATTTGACGTTGTGATTTCTGTCGTCTTGGTCTAACGCAATAATAATGTTGTGCTTGTTGTTTTGGTTGTTGTTGTTGTTGGTCGCTCTCAACTACATCAGTTTGTTTCTCGTGGCTTGTTTTACGGATCTTAAACTTTAAGCTGACATTGCATTCCCCATCTGATGCTGTTGCTTCAGTTGTGGCTGCTGACGACGATGACGAGATGGATGGCGCACCTGTTGATGTTGCCGACGTCGTTGCTGGGAATGTAGCAGTTGATAATGCTGCAATTGATGTTGATGACGCAGATGATGACGTAGAAGATGACGTAGAGGGTGACGTAGCACACGGGGACGAGGACAACTTGCGTTTCCTATCATGACTTGCACATGTCGGAATCATGACGTCATCAGCCTCCATTTTGAGATCGCACTTCGCCGGACCTCGCTTGTCCACTTCCTCGATGATGCCGCTGCCACTAGCGTTCAGTTTGTCGCCACTTTTAGTCTTGACGCAAGTCCGATCTGTGGTGTGAAATAGTGCAACATGTTGATACAACATTATTTCAGTTATTGTAAGCAACATTTGTAGTAGTAGTAGTAGTAGTAGTAGTAGTCGCCGTAGTCGCAGTAGTAGTAGCAATAGTAGTAGTAGTAGTGGTAGTAGTAGTAGTAGTAGTAGTAGTAGTAGTAGTAGTAGTAATGATTGTAACTACAGCAAAGGCGTAAAAGTTGTAATATTATTAACATTAGACACAGCCGTTGTTTTATTAAAATTATTAACACCGTTTTAATTGCTGATTAGAGAAAACAATAAATTGGTTTAGAAGAACTAAATAAATTAAAGAATAAATAAATTGATAATAATATTTAACAATTATAACAATAATATAATAACAATAATATAATAACAATATATTATTAACGATGAAATTATGTTACCAACAGAAAATATAATAAAAATATAATAATATAACTCAATAATGAAGTAATAATAATTTCATTGTTTTGCTGAGTTACCTGCTAATAGACGACCACTACAACCACCGCTGCTACTGACACTGTTGTGGCTGTTGACGCTGTTGTGGTTGTTGTTGTGGTTGTTGTTGACGTTGTTGGGGTTGTTATTGTGGTTGTTGTTGTTGTTGTTGTTGTTGTTGACGTTCAAATGTCTGCTTCTTGATGACGAGGATCTGCATATTGTTGCATAATCCGGCAGACTATCATCTGGCGTTCAATAAAATAACATTGGTGGGAGATGAATTATAAGGAAACGTTATTTATTTATAAATCAACTCAAATTATAAATATTCATTTTAACTAAAATTTGATTTTTGAGTTTGAAGATGAGTTAATTATTCTTCAGGGACAACCTCTGAATTGTGAGAGGGTGCACATCGGGAAGACCCTCCAAATGCCCACCTGCCTTTCAACGCCCTTGTTCCTGCTGTTTTCAATGCGAGACTGCCTGTTCAACGCCAGGTACTGAGGAGGTAGTGAGTGTGTGTGTGTGTGTGTGTGTGTGTGTGTGTGTGTGTGTGCAATGATTTACGTGTGTGCATGCGTGTGTATGCGTGTGTGTGCGTGCTGTGTTTGTGTACTGTACCGGGAATTAAGTAAAAAATTGTTTTTGATTTTCCGTTTGTCAAATTTTAAGAATAAATGAATGATTGAGAAAATGATTGAAAGATTGAACAAATAAATGAGTGAATGAGTAGAAGAATGAGTACATGGATGAATGAATGAAGGAAGATAAGGTAAACAATAAAAGAAGCACTAACGCAGTAAACGTCGACGTTGTCGCGTTCATCTTGTGTTGTTGTTGTTGATTTCTCATCGAAGTTGTTGTACAACGTAGTTGCCTCTGCCCAGGCCATCTTATTGCAAACGCAAAATAATAAAATATACAACAAAACTTATTTATAATAATGCAAACATACAAGCAGGCACGAACACAAACGTGCACAGAAACAAAAATCCACAAAAAAATGCAAAAAACCATCAAGTTTGCAAAAAACAAAAACAAGATAAAAACAAAACAGAGATACAATGCAGTTACCCTCTCTTCCATAGAATGTGACGACACGTGGTCATACATGTTTGATATCTTGCGTGTGAACTGCTGTACTAATCTGCAGCTCTAACGGCGAAGATGTAATTTGTTATTGATGTAATGAGATTTTTATTGATGTAATTATTGTTACGCGAATGGCTGCGAAGATGTTATTGTTATCGATGCTGTGATCTACTTATTGATGTGATTCCTGGAATATCAAGCGTGCCAACCTGATCAGAAAGTTTCAGTTTGACGTATGGCTCGTTGTTGACTCTCGACACAACGAAGGAACCTTCGCCGTTCAACGTCCACTTCACTGGAGTCGATGCTGGCTTGTAGCTGTGCCATTTTGGTTTTATAGTATTGTCAATTTTAAAACTGCTATACGTGCAGAAAGAATAATGAAGTGGGCAGAGAGACGGACGTAACAGACGAGCACACAATCAAACAGGCAAACATACAGACATGAAAAACAGTCAGACATGACAAACATACAGACAGACACGACATGAAAGGCAGACAAACATGACAAAAGACAGACAAGACAAGACACACCTCTTGTCGCTTCTATTTCTTCTCCTCCTTTCAACTTCCACAGGTTGCAACCCAAACAAGCATTCCACGTTCAGTCGTTCAACATCATCGTCGTCGTCATCAACTGCTTCCCACACCACTAGACCAGCTATCCTGTAGCCAAGCTCATCTGCATCGTCACCATCATCATCGATGTTGTTGTTGTTGTTGTTGCAGTTGTTGTCATTAGCGTTGATGTTGTTAATGCTGTTGTCGTTGGCATTGTTGTCAGTAGGTGTGAGCAAGCACATAATTTTTTCTTGTTCATTTTTCCGTTGTAAAACCTCAAATTTGTTAATGATTAACTTGTTGGTTTGAGAGTAATATTTCAAGTAAATTTAACAAAAAAATATTTAAAGAAAAACAACAAAATTGAAAAATTTTCAAAACCTGCTTAGAGCTGAAGTCAAAGGACCTGTTGTTGGGCTTCTGAAGCCTGTACTCAACCTTCTCCAACCGAATACCCTCCTCGTCAGGTGTCTTGAACCTGACGATGACAATGATGACCACGATGATGATGATGACGATGATTGTGATGTCATAAATGACTGTGAAGTGGTTGTTCCGGCGACTATGATGCTGACGATTACACTAATGTTGATGATGTGAATGATGACAATGATGATATGGAAATGATAACGAGGACAATGACAATGTGAATCATGAGATACATTAAGATTATCGAACCTTTCCATCAGCCATCGTTTGACGTCATTGTGGTCTGTCCATTTTTTGGACATTGCATATTTCAACGTCTTCGTTATGTCATCCGTTTCTAAATTAATTAGCAACATTTTAAAATTTAAGATATTGTTCTTACTTGGTTTTCTATTGTTACATAATTTGAATAATATTTGTAACAAGAATGTCAGTTATCATTGTAGGCGCAAATAGAGTCAAGTTGGAGTTTAACTTTAAATTAATTTTTTTACACTGAAAGCTCTCTGATTTGGCAACATTTGGCTATTCAACCTTTCAAACGTCCGAAAAAGAAATTTTATTTTTGACCGAATGGCCGCCGGTGCAACTTTAGTTGAAAGCTGCTCATTTGGTTGATATTTCAGTGATTACAGTTGTGGATATTGGCTGAAATTTCAGTGACTGATTGATTGAAGCGTCGAAAAAAATTTTGAGACAACAATGATATATTTTTCATAAACACTGTTTCGATTGTTGGAACGTTAATACAAACCTGCGCACAAACTGTCCATAAAATACTTCCCATCTAAATGCTCTGTCTTCATCGAAT